TGCCGAACTGCTGCCACAGGTTTCGCCAGAAGTTGCTGGTGAACTTCGTGTCGCGGTCGCTGATAATTGATGCTGGTATCCCGTGCAGTCGAACGACGGTGGAGATGAAGAGGCGGGCCGTTTCTTCGGCCGTGATTGATTTCTTGCAGGCTATGAAGTGTGCCATTTTCGTCAGCCGATCGACGACGACCAGGATCGCGTCGTTCCCACTTGCTCCAGCCGGTAACCCCGTGACGAAGTCCATCGTCACCTGCTGCCAAGCACGCTCTGGGGGTGGTATCGGCTGCAACTGCCCTGCCGGTCGTTGTCGTGACGACTTCATGAGCTGGCAGGTGGGACACGATGCCACGTGTCGTTGCACGTCGGTCAGCATCTCGGGCCAGTAGTAATACCGCTGCAGCTGCTGCCGTGTTTTCTCTACCCCGAAATGTCCTGAGGTAACCCCGTCGTGTGCCTCCTGTAGTAACAGTTCCCTTAGTAAAGTGTAGCCCGGTACCCAGATGCGGTCGGTGCCGGTTTTTACGTAGTACACCCCTTTTGCTGCTGCGAACTGCTGCGAGTTGCCTCCGGTAAAAAAGGGGTCTGTCTGATACCCGTGGGTGAATAGGCCTGTCAGTAGCGGGCTGGTCTGTGCGAGTAGTATGGCGTGGATCTGGGCAGTTGGGCGGGTCAGTGCGTCGGCAATGTTCGATGCTCCCTTTTTATAGGTGACCGTGTAGTGGAAATTTGACTCGAGGAAATCGAGCCAGCGGATCTGTCGTGGGTTGAGGTGGGGCTGTGCGCGGAGGTACTGTAGGGATCTGTGGCCTGTCCGTACTGTCACGTCTGCGCCGGTCAAGTAACAGCGCCAGACCTTGAATGCATGCACGATCGCGAGCATTTCGCGGTCGTGTATCGGGTAATTCTTCTCGGGCGGATGCAGTTTTCGTGACTCGTATGCGATGGGCTGTAAACCGTTGCCAAAATCCTGTAGCAGTACGGCTCCAATGGCGATGTCGCTTGCGTCTGTAACTACTTCGAATGGGCGGTGTGGGTCGGCGATGCGCAGTACGGGCGGTGAACAGAGAACATTTTTCAGGGCAGAGAAGGCAGCATGCTCTTTCTCCCCCCACGTAAAAGTGACCCCCTTCCGCAGTAAATCCGTCAGTGGGGCAGTTAACCGTGCCATGTCGGGGACGAACCGACGCACATAATTAACGAACCCTAAAAAGCTCTGCAGCTCCGTGATGTTCGTCGGGGGGTGCCACGCTTTTACCGTGTCCAGCTTCTTGGGGTCGATTTCAACTCCAGCCTCCGAAATAACGTGCCCCAAAAACTCTAACCTATCCTGGAAGAACTCGCACTTGGAACCCTTGGTCAGTAATCTGTGCTCTTCTAAAACTTTAAATACTGCTTCCAGATCTGCTAAGTGCTGCTGCTTATCGCGACTGTAAACTAGGATGTCGTCGAGGTAAACTATCACGCATTTATCTAAGAGCGGCCTAAACGCCTCGTTCATGGTCATCTGAAAAGTCGCCGGTGCGTTGGTCAGCCCGAATGGCATCACGGTGTACTCGAATGACCCATACCTAGTCCTAAATGCTGTTTTTACGCAGTCCGATGGTTCGACCCGAATCTGGTGGTAACCCCCGCGTAAGTCAATTTTCGAAAAGACCCGTGCTGTTCGCAGTTGATCTATCAGTTCGTCGGCGCGGGGAATGGGATATCGCGACTTGACTGTTACCCTGTTCAGTGCTCTGTAGTCGATACACATGCGAAAACCCCCGTCTTTTTTCGGTGTGAACAGTATCGGTGCGGCGAACGGTGACGAGCTCGGTCGGATGATTTTTTTCTCTAACAGATAATCTAACTGCTTCCTCAGTTCATCGAGCTCTGGCTGTGTCTGTCGGAATTGTCGCTGTACAGTTGGCTGTGCCCCCGGTTCTAACTCTATTCGGTGGTCATGTGCCCGCTGAGGTGGCAGTCCCTCTGGTAAATCGTCCGGAAAAATCCCCGGGTACCGTTTCAACAGTTCCTGCAGTTCGGGCGGTACTGCTGCCAACAGTTTCTGAAAATCGCTCGGCTGCTCTGCTTCTTCTACCAATGCTATATCCACTGCGTACACGTCAGCTCCAGCGGCGACAGCCCGTTTCATCGTGATGGCGTTGACGTGGACCGTTGAAGACTCGGGCGACTGCCAGCGAGGTAGCATGACCCAGTTACCGCTACTTCGCACAGTGCAGCTACCCGTCGTCCAGTCGATTCGCGGAATATACCGTCGCAGCCAGTCACGTCCCAGTAAAATGTCGTGCCCATCCAGTGTCGTCGCGAGCATTTCCTGTGTAAACCCAAAATTCCCCCCGCAGCGGACTTTTACTCTTTCCACTTTCTCCCGTATGGCCAGCGGCGTGCCGTCGACTAAGCGTGCATCTATCTCCGGTAAACACCGACTAAGTGTCAGTTGCAGCTTCCGTGCGGTTGCGGTATTAACTAAGCTGTGGCTTGCTCCTCCGTCTATAAAAATCTTCGCTGCTGCTCCCTGTATTTTCCCGTGAATCAGTACTGGGCAATCCGTCGCTGTACCCTCCTTATTCATCCGAGCCCGATCGATAGCGTGAATCGGTACTGTGACTCGGTGAGGGTCGGTGAGGTTGGGCGAGCAGGTTGTCTCGTCAGTAGTCGGCCCATTTTCTACTGACTGCTAGCGTTTCCCTGCCTCTGAGACTCCCTTCCCTGCTCTGCTCCGCGGCGTCTCTGCTCCTCTGGGCATTCGCTCTTGCGATGGCCCGGCCTATTGCAAGCAAAGCAGCGCCCCCTAAATGGCGCAGCAGCTGCATTCGCCGCAACGGCGTGTACGGTGGCGTGCTCGGTCGGTCCCCGAGGGCGATGTCCGTAGTAGGACCCCGGTCTCGGACGGCGCAAAATGTCGATTTTCTCGGCGAGCGCGAGGATCTCGTTGAAATTCGAGAGCCCGCGTAGCATGATTTCGTGCGAGATGTCCGGCTTCAGCCCTCCGACGTAACGGTCCACCCGCTCCGCTTCGTGCATGTAGCCGACTTGCTCACATAATGCGAGAAAACCGCTGGTATAGTCTTGGACCAACCCAAGTTGTCCCCAAGTACGCAGTTTCTGACGCGCCGAAATAGAAGCCGCAATCGGCTCGAAGCGCGCTCGAAGCCCTGCGCACCACGCATCCCACGTGCTGTACTGGGCGGTTTCGCAGAACGAACTCCAGGTGACGGCTGGACCCGTGGGCTCTTCCTCTTGCGACGGAGGCTCGTAGGCACGTGGTGACGTCACAATGACTCGCCACCAATCCATGGCGGGGCCCCTTAGCACCGAAACAGCATATCGAATCTTCGCTGCGTCCGACTCGACGTAGTTCGCGTCGAAAAAAACGTTCATCGTGAAGACCCACGATTGAACCGTCGGACCTCCTCGTTGGCTCGGGTCGAAGCAGGGCGGGCGCTGCGGTTTGAGCAGCATCGGCGCGATAATGTCGTTGTTGCCGATTGTTGCCGCAAATTCGACGTGACGACGGGCTTCGCGAGGCCCGCTCGTGCTTGGTACAGCCCTGTTCCTCCCCATGCCAGGCATTGACTGGGCCGCGTCATCACTGGCTGCGCCTGAGCGCTGTCCCACGCTGTCGTGATGTGACGGTGTGCCGGACGAGATGACAATCGGCTCATCCGATTGCACAGGTGCATTTGCGGGTGCTTGTGATGGTGCTGGCGCATTCACCGTTGATTGCTGGCGGGCGGAGTCACGTTCCGCCGTGAGTGTCGCGATTTGAAGCGCCGAATCTTCGAATTGGCGCACGAGACGGTCGAGTTGCTCCTGCGTCAATGTCGCAAGATTAATTTCGGCCATGGCGGGGGTGTCGGGCAAACTCAGCGAGAGCCTCTGTCGTGGTCGTGCGTGCTTACGAGAGAGCACTTCGAGCGGCGGTGCTTGTTCGCTGAGAGACGTCTACCCCCCCCCAAAAAATTGAGATAGTGAGGAAGCGAAGGTGTGGGTGCGGTCCGAGAGGAGATCGTAGGCTCTGAATACCAAGTGTTACGAGTGCAATTGAGCGAGCGAGCGAGAATTGCACTATCGAAGCAAAACAATACAATGAGCGAAGGCATGCGCGAAGAATATATAGCGAACTAGAGTGGTAACGGTAACGCGAGATAATGGGGTGCGCTACGGGCCTAGCGCCGAGGTTGGGAAATGTCGAGGCGGAGGTCCGGAGCGCGGGTTACCAACCGAACCGTGAGGTTGGGTCGCATCGTGAATGGTGGCGGGAGTCGTAGTCGAGGCGAGTGTCGCGAGCGGGTAACGTTTCACTGTTTGGGTGCCGATGGCGGGAATGGTCTTGTACGCAGTAAGCAGGGACGAGAAGTAAGGAAAAGGAATTTTCCTTACACTAGGTAAGCTCGCTATGTTATCCTGTATCATTCATTGTAATGTGAGTTCATATTGTCAAAGCTTCGTTATTACGCAACCTTGTTGAACAACTCCATGTCTGCAGCACTCGGTACCATTTTCGGACCAGTCCCCCATCCACAATTTTGTCTCTCTCGTACCAGGCATCCCCAGACCATCAAAACCCTGTACCACGCCATTTCCTGAAAACGCAGCGCCTTATCCACGTGGCATGGAGCCGGCGGGGTGGCAGCAGCGAGTGGCGCTGTGCGAGCGCGTGCCCAAGGTGGAGCTGCACGCGCACCTCAACGGCTCCATCCGCCACTCCACCATCAGGTCAACCCCTCCCCGCTTCTCGCCTTCTCCCCGCCCCTCTCGCCCTCCCCGCCCCTCTCGCCCTCCCTGTCCCACACCCTCTCCGTGCCACTCGCGCGCGCAGTCTCCCTGTCGCGCCCCCTGCCCGCCGCAGGGCATGCCGCCCCCCTCCCCGTAGAGCCCTTGGAGTCGCCTGCCAGCCCCCTTCGCCGGCCGGAATTCCCCCCCGCGCGGTGAAAGTTCGCAACTGATTCTCACTTCGTCGCACAGCTGTCGAGTCGCCGTCGATTTGCGTCGCCATGCCTGTCGCACCAGCGTTCTCTGAACCACATATTCCGTGCTCTCCATCTCTCTGTGTGCCATTCTCCCTGTGCGCGGGGCGTGCGGGCGCGTGGCGGCACGGGCGTGCGTGGTGTGCGGGGGTGGGCAGGGAGCTGGCGGAGAAGCGCGAGGCGGAGGCGCCGCTGCTGGCAGAGGACGCACGGCGCCTCACCAACACAGGTCGCCTCGCCTGCCTTACCTCCCATTGCCCCCTGCTGCCAACTCGCACACATCCCACACCCTCGTGCTGCTTGCAAGTGCAGCGGGCCATGTGTTGGCAGCATGCTGATCTAGCGCCATGGCACCACCATTCCCCCCCACGGCTCGCGGTGTGTGAGCAGCGGAGCGCAGTCTAGCGGAGTGCTTCAAGCTGTTCGCCGTGATCCACAGCCTCACCACCGACCATGCCACCATCACCCGCATCACACGCGAGGTGCGCCCTGCTCGCTGTATGGCGCACGCTGTAAGGCGCAAATGGCACATGGCACATGGCACATTGCACATGGCACATGGCACATGGCACATGGCACATGGCACACTGGCAGTTGAGACACAGTGGTACGTATCTGCCACTGCTTTGCTGCTCTATCTCTTCCTTTCGATTCCTTCCATTGCCTTCCATGCCATGCCCTCTCAAGGCGTCAGCATGACTCGGTATCTCATGTCATCTCATGTCATCCCATGGCACCACAGGCCACCGTACTGCACCCCATGTGCCATGGCATCAGGTGGTGGAGGACTTTGCGGGTGACAACGTGTGCTACCTGGAGCTGCGCACCACGCCCAAGGTGCTCCCCACGTGCCTCTCTGCCCCTCCCTGCGCTGCATGGACTAGAACCTGCCGCGCTCTAGCAAGCAAGGTCGCCTGTCACAAGGCCACCACACGCATGTATTCTGAGATAGGGGCTGTGTATGGAGAGGGAGCAGGTATGGATGGAGTGGGGGGGTGTATGGAGAGAGGCGGGCAATGCAGGAAGCTTGGTGGTGCAGGCAATCAGGCAGTGCAATGTGCTTCCTGCAAGGCCAGCTTGGTCGCCCCCTAGGGCCAAGATGCCGTGTGAAAGGGAGCTGGAGAGACACAGGGCGGGCAGCCACGCGGGTGGGCTTAAAACCGGGGTGCACATTCACCTGGATTTCCGTCAAAGGTTAACCTTTGACGTCTCTGTTACTCAGTGATTTAGGAATATCGGGGGGGAGTATTCGCCTGATCAGGTGAACATTTGAACCCTCAGGATTTGGCGAATGTGTACTGAACTCATCGAGTGTGCTTCCGCCCATTCTTTTCCCCCCTCCCCATACCTATTCCGCTGCCTCCCAAATTATGTTCCCCCCCCCCCTCCACCCACAATATCGTTTCACCCCCTTTCCCCCTTCCGCCACCCCAGTTGCCCTTCCCTCGATCCTCAATTTCTTGATTCAAGTGTTATCAATTTCAACCCTGCCGAGCCTGATCTCTCACGGACGAAAAGGCCCACGCTCGCCCGTTCTCAACTTTTTATTTGCTACTCGTCAACCAATCATCAGTTCCCGCAAACATGCCGCCCAAATTTAGCCTGGAGTCGCGTTGAATGCGCACCCTGGTTTTAAGAAGGACCGGATATGCAATATTATCGCTCATTCGGAAAGGCACTCAGTCAGCCAGCTAGATAACGTTGAGGGAAAACCCGGGAAAATTAGCTCGTTTTCGGAGCGTGCATGGCTCTTCTCAGTCTATTGGGCAGCCCAGCCTGAAGGCGTGCTGGTGAATTTTGTCATTTGCTTTGCAGTTTCTTATCACATCACCAACTAGGCTTGCCTCCTCGAATCTCCCTCTGCCCGCGCTGCCTCTCGCCACTTGCCCCACAACCCCCTGCACGCCCCTGCCCAGAGCAACCCGAGTGCAGGCATGACGAAGCAGTCGTACGTGCAGGCTGTGCTGGCAGGGCTGCACCCCTTCATGCAAGCCGAGGCTGTGTGGCTCCATGCGCGCACCGCACACCAAGGTACGCCCCTGTGCTGTGCCACCCTGCCCTGCACATCATGCCATGCCATGCACATCATGCCCGCTTGAAGGGGGCCAGGGGTTGTCTCGCCAGAGCACAAATTCCACTGCCATGACATACACGCCCTTACATTCTGCTCACAAGGACTGCTCATCATGGCACTTGCTGGACTGGTTGGATATCGAGTTGCCTTTATTTTGTCTTGCCATGTTGTGCTTTGTTTTGTATGCCCTCTTCTGAAGTCACTTGAAAAAAACCTTCCTTGACAGTTTTGAGGCCAGAGCTTTCAAGGCTTGCTACTAAGACGAAGGATAGTAGTCTCCATAGCAGGCGAAGGCTGCGCGCGTACAACAGCACTTTCTTACCACCATGCCCATGCACGCCCTACATTGCCGTTTCAGCTCCCTGCTACAACATATCCCTCCCTATGCCCATGCTAATGCCCATATGCACATCCATGTCCATTCCCATTCCCACTGCCATACTCATCCTCCATGCCCATGCCCCCATGCCCGCCCACGCCTCTACCCCCATGCTCACCTCACGCCCGTGCTCATGCCTTGCTCCTGGCCATGCGCATGCACATATATTGTGGTGTTGGAGGAGGCAGCCCCCCCCAGCAGTGCAGTGCCCATGGTGGTGCGCCTAGTGCTGTCCATGGACCGCAGAGAGAGCACTCAGAGCGCCATGGACACCGTGAGTCACCCACTCCCCACGCCCTGCTGCTGCATGCCATGCCATTCCATACCATGTCATGCCATGCAAAACCATGACATTCCATACCATGCCATACCATGCGCTTCCATGCCATGCATGCCATGCCATGCCAGTGCACGTATGTCTGCGCGCGTCTCACATGCCCACCCCACCAGGTGCATCTGGCAGTGCAGCTGCGTGATCAAGGAGTGGTGGGTATCGACCTCTCTGGCAACCCCTCCATCGGCCAATGGTGACGCCGCTCACCCACCCCCTGACGCAATTATCTATTTAGGAGAGCTACGAGTTGAAGGCTTGCTGAATCGTGTAGCCATGGATGCACACAGGTGATGAGCGTGTGGTGTGGTGTGGCAGGTCCACGTTCCTCCCTGCGCTGCACCTCGCTCGCTCCCACGGCCTTCCCATCACCGTCCACTTTGCAGAGGTGCCTCTCGCTCCCTCCTCTCTCATGCGCCGCTTCTCTCTTTCTAACGTTACCTGTCACTAGACTAAAGAGGTACAGCAGAGCTTTAGGTAATATTGTATACGACAACCCATGCAAGGAGCTAACCCCGCCCCCCTGTCAACCTTCTTTCTCTCGTTCTCGCCTTGTCGTTCTTGCTCCCGCCTGTCACTGCCCTGCCTCTCTCACCTTGAACTCGCACAATCCACCACACCATTTTGTGCCCTCATGCCCTTCTCCTCCTCCTCCTCCTCCTCCTCCTCCTCCTCCTCCTCCTCCTCCTCCTCCTCCTCCTCCTCCTCCTCCTCCTTATCCCTCGTGTCCTCCTCTTTCCCCCATTCTCCCCTCCCCACGGCGCACCCAGCAGGTGCCGAACGAGAGGGAGTCAGAGGCAGTGCTGGACTTCGCACCAGAGCGACTAGGCCATGCGTGCTGCCTCCCCGACCACCTCCAACAAGCCCTGCTGCACTCTCGCATCCCGGTACCCCTTGCCCTTCCCCTCCCCCTCATCCCCCCTCTCATTTCTCCAACTGTTGTTCGCTCGAAAGTAAGGCACGTTGCAGTGTTGTAGAATCTTCACGCACTCTCTTGTGCAGCTCTGAGGCAGGTCGCTGCACATTGCTGCCGTCATTGTGGTGGCAGTTGGAGCTATGCCTCACTTCCAACGTGCGCACGGAGAGTGTCACGGCGTACGGCAACCACCACTTTGGTCTGTGCCATGCCTCTTCACTGCACCAGCTGCTACTGTAGAGTAGACATGCCTCTGCCGTACCACCACTCTGTGTTTCGCTTGAGTTCATTAATTGCTGTGCATCCGCGCACCCATGTCATTCGCCATCTGTCTGTGCTGTGCCACGGGTGCCCTTCAGACTACCTATACCGCGCATCTCACCCCGTTGTCATATGCACTGACGATTCGGGTGTCTTCAGCACCACACTCTCACGGGAATATGCACTCGCAGCAGCTGCATTCAGTAAGCTTAATCACCTCCTACCCTCTGCTTCCTCTTGTCTCGCTGTATCCCTCCCTTCCCCATTTATCTCACTCTCCCATAGTTGGCTCTTGACTTCATAGAACGTCCACCAGCGTATCGCAACCTGCCGTCCCGTTGCTGTTTCATCATTGTGTCCAACCACACTGCCCTTCCACTACACTGCCACTCTGAAGTCTATCTCCCTTGTTTTGACGTCTCATCCATCTCCCCGTAGATTGCATTGTTGCTAGCCTCGTTTGTTTTCTCCGTTATCTTCATTGCCAAACAGGGTACGGTGCCTTATCTCCTTCCTCCTACCCGTCCCTCCAGACCTATCTGACGACCACATCATCGAGCTTGCACGTAAATCAATCGACTTCGCATTCCTGCCCAGTGAAACAAAAGCGCTTTTGCGCGACAGTTTTCAACAAAAGATCACCCTTCCCTGTGTCACATGATCGTACTTCTCAAGTACATAATACCGTAACCACACAACAGTTAGGGTACATTCTGCTGTAGACATGTCCAGAAAGAAAGTGTCACAAACTCTTAAGAAACGTGCACAATGGAATGAATTAACTAGGGAAACAAAGAATACAAATAGCAACCCTAAAAGTGTTGTACTCCCTAGAGTACTATTCATTGTAGCCTAAGAACCTATAATAACATTTGACAAACCCCCATAGGCTAAGTGAGGGGCATCAACACATGCAGGGTGAACAAACGGTCACAAGACCAGTCAATGCAAGAAGCAAAGCAAGCTCAGGGTGGATCTCAAGGACACCACACAAATTCCGAGCACAAGCAAGCGGCCACAAGGCCAGTTCAAGAGTTCACTAGGATATATATAGCAAAGCACAACAAGCAGAGCAAACAGCAAGTCTACAGCAACCTAGGGCCTACCTCAACAAGCCCCAACACTGCCGACGTCGGCAGTGTTGGCCTCTGAGGCCACAAAGTCCAAGCGTGCCTGGCCGCGTCGCTGCAACTCTCGCAGAAGGAAGTACCTCACGTCAATATGCTTAACTCTGCTCTCCAGTCGAGGCTCTCGACACAGGAGGATCATGGCCTTGTTGTCAGCGTACAAGGTCGGTGCACAGCGAGGCCGCTCACCAAGGTTGGCGAGCAAGAAGGTCAACCAGCGAAGCTCCTGTGCCGCCATGGCACCAGCGTAGATCTCTGCCTCTGCACTGGACGAAGCCACAGACGACGACCGTGTGGACCTCCACAACACAGCACCAGCACCCAGACTGAAGCAGTAACCCTGAGTCGAGCGCTGAGTCTCCACGTCGTCAGCGTAGGAAGAGTCGCAGTGACCGGACAACACAACTGGCTGTGTCTCTCCAAGCACAAGCCCCATGCCTGATGTAGTCGCCAGGTACTTCGCCACCCTCACAGCAGCTGTCCAGTGAACAGGACGGTGACTCCAAGTCGCAACAAAGCGAGAGAGGACGCTGAGGGGAAAGGCGAGGTCCGGCCGAGTACAAGTCATCAGGTACATGAGGCAGCCCACAAGCTCTGCGTAGGGGCCACTGGACTCAAAGGGCTTGTCGGGAAAAGGGCCAGTGAGTCGGTGGTCAACGGCAAGAGGAGTGGGCTGTGTGGTGGAGAACTGAAACTCGAACCGCCGAAGGACCTGCTGCACCATGTGTGACTGAGTCAGTGTGATGGTGCGAGCGGCTCTGTCCCTGGTGATCTGCAGGCCAAGGTAGCGCTGCAGCTCACCGAGGTCAGTGCACTTGTGTCTCTTCTGCAGTTCGGATTTCACCTCAGTCAGAGCTGCCCTGTCTGCTATAGCAAAGACCAAGTCATCGACGTACACTAGTATAAAGAAAAGAGTGGAACCAGTGCGAACAAACAGCGATGGGTCGGCAGAGGAAGGACGAAACCCAAGGTCACGAAGCGTGGAGCGAAGAGTGTCGTGCCACTCACGGGGCGACTGGCGGAGACCGTAGACTGGCCGCCTCAGGCTCCACTGGGTTCCAGGTGGGAAGGTGTCAGTGAAGCAAGGAGGACGGCGCAGCCAAATCTCCTCGTGTAGACGGCACTGGAGAAACGCAGTGGAGAAGTCAAGGGACTGCAGCTCGTAGTCCCGCTGTGCTGCTACTTGCAGTAACACCCGAAGAGTAGTCATCTTCGGGGTTGGGGCGAAGGTCTGGAAGAAGTCAACTCCCTCACGCTGACTGACATCCCTAGCCACGTAGCGCGCCTTGAACACATGCGGTGGTCTAGGCGGCCGCTTCACCTTGAAGAGCCACATGCCATCGACAACGTTCGCCCTGGGAGGGGGAACTACGTCGACGTACTTGCCTGTGGATCTCCAAGACGCTAGCTCTGCATCCATAGCCGCTTTCCACTGAGAGGCCCACTCCCCTGACACTGCCTCACGGTACGTGCGAGGTGTCGGTATGTCAAGGGCCTCGGGGTCTCCCTCAAGGGAAAGCAGCATGGCGCAGAGAGAGGGGGAAGCGGCTGCTAAGAACTCCAACTCAAACTGCCTGTCCTCTAGGACGTCACAGCCAAGGGCAGAATCACCCCCGACGGACAGAGGACGGGGAGGTGGAGCAGCCACCACACGCGTGGCGTAGTCAAGACGGCGGGTGGAAGCAAAGTCAGCGACAGCGGCAGTAAGAGCCGAGACAGACGACGGAGAGGCACGAGGGTCGGTGACAAGAGAGGCAAGAACACGAGAGACAACAGGGCGAGCAGCACGGTAGTAGTAAGTGATACGGTGAGAGGAAACGGTGAGAGACGACTCAGGAGTGAGGGGAGAACAGACACTGGCGGAGAACGACAAGGAGGAGAACGAAACAAGACGGTGCGGAGGTCGGCAAGAGGAGACGAGAGCCGAGCACGTGGAGGACAACGACTGGTCCAGTCGTGCCGGACAACAGGAGGAGGCGATTGTGACCGAGGAGGAGAGAAAACAGCCGGAGTCGAGTCCGGAGGAGGGAACGTAGGACCGTACGCGGTAGGAGATTGTGAGTGAACAAGAGGAGAGGAAGGAAGACCAAGGGCCCGAAGGCCACTCACTGGAGGGAACAGCTGCTGCAAAAGTGGCGGCCACGGCGGCTGCTGCCGCTGCTGCTGTTGCGGCTGCTGCTGTTGCTGCTGCTGGTCCAACTGCTTCAACTCCTACCTCTCCTGCTCCAACTGCTCCTGCTCCATGCGCTCAAGCCGGCGAAGGGCCTGGAAACGGGTGTCGTGGCGGTGGGGAGGCGCAGTGGGCGACGCAGTAGGCGAGCCTCCAGCTCCCGTCTCCTCAGTACCAGCTCCTACAGCGCCAGCACCTCCTGCTCCACAACCCCCAGAACTAGCACCGCCAGTGCCAGCACCTCCAGCTCCAGCACCCCCTGAACTAGCACCTCCAGTGCCAGTACCTCCAGCACCAGCACCCCCAGAACTAGCACCTCCAGTGTTAGCACCTCCAGCTCCAGCACCCCCAGAACTAGCACCTCCAGTGCCAGAACCTCCAGCTCCAGCACCCCCAGAGCTAGCGCCACCTGCGCCAGCACCTCCAGCTCCAGCACCCCTCGAACGAGCACCCCTAGACCGAGCACCGCCAGTGGCTGCACCTCCAGCTCCAACACCAACCGAGTCCACAGTAACCTGTTGCGGAAGTGCCGAAGGCTGCTGAGGAGACTGTGAGGAGGACTGCGGGGAGGGAGACGCTACCTGGCGCGCGACCGAGGGTAGAGGGGTAGCGTGAGACACACCTGACGGGGAAGGACCAGGGGGGGGTGGGGGTACCGGAGGAGCGGGAGCAGGGGCAAGAGAGGGTGCGAGGAAGAGGGGGGGAGGGGGAACCGGGATACCTCGACAGGGGTACCGTGTGTTGTAGGACACTGACTCGTCAAACCGGACGTCACGAGAGTCTAGAAACTGGTGGAGGGGCGGGTGGTAAAAGGAGTAGTCGGGAGAGCCCACCGGGAAACCAAATAAGACACAGGGGATGGCGCGAGCCGAGAGCTTGTCCGCAGAGGTGTCGCGGACAAGCGCAAGGCAGCCCCAAACGTGAAAGGCCGACCCAACACCAGGGGACCCAGTCCAAAGACTGGTCGGTGAAACCTCTAGCCGCGAGACACGCGGCTGGAGGTTCAGCTGGTGCGCGGCGTAGCGCAGCGCATAGGGCCATAGAAAATGGGGCGCACGTGCATGGATCATGGACGTGCGGGCGATGTCCATGACCAAGCCAATGCGGCGCTCAGCAACCCCATTCTTCTGTGGGGACTCCGGCAGCGTCCAGGACTGTCTGATGCCCTGCTCGCCGCAGAACCCGGCAAGGACGCCGGAGCGAAACTCATCCCCACAGTCGGAGTGGAGACAACGGACACGACTAGTACGCGTGCCCTCAGTGGCCAGAAGCCACCGGATCAGCGTAGAAGTCACCTCGGACTTCTTCGCGAGAGGAAACACCGTGGTGTACCTGGAGTAGTCGTCAACGACCACTAGAAAGTAGCGCTCCCTCTCAGGTCCCAGCGTAGGGGCAGGGCCCCAGACGTCCAGGTGGAGAGTCTGGAAGGGAGCAGTGGCTGGACGAAGGGAGGAGGAGTGCGGACTGGCGCGCAGGCGGCCAGCGACGCAAGGAGTGCAGGGTGGGGCAAGCGAGGGAGGGAGCGACGGAAAGACGCGCGGGAGACCTGAGAGAAGACAGTGACTGGCCATGCTGCAGAGGCGGGGGAGCGACAGGTGGCCAAGGCGGTGGTGCCACAAGACGGTCGGGTGGGCTAGGGACCGACACGAGCAAGACGCAGCAACCTGACGAGACACCTCTACCTGACCAGACACAGCAACCGGACTAGACACTAGGACCTGAGGGGACGCATCGACCTGAGCGGAGGAAGCAACCGGAGAGCGCTCGGTGTGGAGAACGTAGAGACCAGAGCGGGACTCCGTGGTGAACGTGGCCAGAACAGCACCTGTAGTGGCGTCTGTACAGACTGCAGTCCTCCCACCCCCCACAAAGGTAACGGTGATCCCCCTGTCCTGGAGGTATCCAA